ATTAACCAAACTAATATGAAAAACGATTCGTCTGTTTCTTCTAAATTATCCCACCTGCCTTTTTTTTAAACATTCAACTAGAGCTCGAGTTTTTAACGTGGTAAGTAAGAGTGTGGGTATTAGATGGTTGGAGGCAATCAGGCATAAGAAGCCTTCGACCTAGGTTTCATACTTTTTGGCACTCACCAGTCAGTCGGCAAGGCGTATCTACAACCTTGATGGAACTCATGTCCTTTCTGAGATATGAAACCACATCACCCAGTGCTGCAGTCAGTCAGAGACGTTACCACTGAGCAGCTGCTATTCGGGCTTGCGATTGACTTCATGTAGGACTGTAGTGGGTACTTTGATTGGACATTAGTAACTAGTATGATGTATCCAGTCCTTTCTTTGTGCAGACTGAATTCTATCAGTCAAGTGTTGAGATTCAATCTCTCGCTCAAATGACACGGAGGTCTCAGTTACAGTTGTGTATGTATCAAATACCATATCCTTTGTCTATCCTTGGCTGGTTTTAAACCAGAGAAATTTCTTAATTTGAAGTTAAGATCTAATCTTCTGACAATGTCTTTCAGAAAATACCCAACTTAGTACTGCCATCTTGCTTTCTGTTTCTCATGTGAACTCATCTTTTGGGTGAGCCATACTGGAAGTTTTGAGAAAGAACTTAGCAATGATTTTGTTATTATGCAAGATAAAAGTAACGTCGACGTATCTACATTAGGACGACAGTTCGTTGATTTATATCCTTGAGTGGATCATTCTGTAATTTTGCCATAAGAGAAGAGGACCCAGAGGGGAGCCTATTGTTACACCCTCCACTTGATGGTAGATTTCTTTGTTAAACTGAAACTGTACATTCATCATACAACAGACTAGCAATCCAAATGACGTACCCCCACCCTCCAATAGGTCATCTAGTGAAACCTGGACGCAAAATGACTAGTAGGCTATTGGTTACAGGGTGACATGAAGGACATCATGTGAGGAGGAAATGAAAGCAAGTGCATAGTTCCGATGCCATTCGGAAGTGATGAGACAGGACCAAATGGGAAGAAGATGTACTCTGGGGCCCTTTGTTCCACGTATAAAACAAAGTTATGAGTAATAATATGCTTCTTAACTTTTGAAAGCATCACCAGATGTTATGAGTAACTTAGAACTTTTGTCTCATTCGAAAAACAGAGTTGCTATACCAATCACTTCATAACATGTATGGTTTAAGATAAGTCAGAAAGACTGTACCAACACTGTAATTGAATCATTAGTAACTGAGTATATAGCCACCTTAGATAACTGGATGATCTGCTATCTCAGAATTCCAATGGTACTACCAACATGCTTTGCAAATGTGAAGTTAGTTAGAAAGATGCATTTATAGTATTATGATCTTCCATAGGTTTTCACGAAAATATTTCTGGGATACTGAACCACATTCCTCTCCTTGACAAATGTCATTGTAGCTTGAATTCGATTGAAAAGGACTAAATAGTGCTGTATTATAACATTTTTCGCCACAGTGCCACAGTGGCAGAATATTCGCCGACCACGCAGGTGTTCCAGGGTTCAATCCCCTTTGCCTCACTAAGCCAGTAATAAGACTGGTAAAGAAGGAAGGTTAGGCATGAGGCTAGCAACCGCACCCCGTAAAAATAAACACCACTGCTACCGAAATTTCAAAGCTCTAGCTTGAAGCTGCTCTGTGTTCCACTTGGAATGTAAAGGAATAAAAAATACAATTTCTCACTCAGGCAAGATACTCATGGTTTCCATGGTGTACTTGGACCTGTCATAGAAATATAAATAACTTTCTAGTTTGAAGGGTGTATTGGGATGGTGCACATTCTGTTAGGAGGGGAAAGAAGATCATCTAAACTTCATTACTCAATTTTCCTCTTCACTGCTGCATATTCATCATCTCCTAAATCGAGTCATTTTCTTTTAATATTTTTCACCTCTATTGACAGTCTATTTTCATACAGATGTTGCGTACATACATGTGTCTATCTGATTTCTCTTGCATGATGAATCGGTAACTGCACTTTTTGCTCTGCACTAATACTTAATTATATAGCTTGATGTCGTGAAACAATATCATTAATACTGATGATAAACAGCAAGAACAAAAACAGACAACGATCAGCATAAATGGGGGGAACCTGAAAGAAACAACCTCTTTTACCTACCTGGAAATCATCGTTTCAAGTACAGGCGGAACTGACGAGGATATCAAAGCAAGAATCGAAAAAGCAAGACAAGCTTTCACTTCTCTCTCTCTCTGTGTGGAGGTCAACAGAACTCAGCATCAAAAATAAGATCCGGATTTCTAACTCCAATGTGAAGTCAGTGCTACTATACGGATCAGAGACTTGACGCTTCATAAAGAGCATCTCAAACAAACTAAAGACCTTCATCAATAGTTGTCTTTGCTCAATACTCAAGACCAGATGGCCAGACAAGATCGGCAACAGGAATCTCTGGCAATGAGCGAACTAACACAGCAGGAACCGATTGTGCAACAAATAAGCAGGAGGAAATGGAGGTGGATTGGCTACACCCTGAGGACACCATCAAGTGACATCACTAGACTTGCCCTCAAGTGGAATCCGAAAGAGAAGCGGCGAATTGGTCGTCCAAGGGTGACTTGGAGGAGGTCATGTGGATAGGAGATGAAAGCGTGTGGGCAGACTTGGAGCTAGGTGAAAACTCTAGCGGAGAACCGAACGCAATGGGGACGCACGGCTGAAGCCCTATGTTCCTCTAGGAATTAAAGGAAACAATAATAATGATGAATAACAGAAAGACGTTTAATATTTCTCTCAGGTAAAGTATCGCATACACGTATGAGACATCTAAATTCCTTTATGTTGGAATCAAACGTTTATACATACACAGTTGTCTAAACCAATGAATGCCTTTTAAGACCATGTACAACCTACATGTTTCATTATTATGTGTAAATGTGTTCATAGTGAGCGAATTTATGTGGTCAATTCCGTTCATGTTTGACAGAAAATAATAGATAAGGTGCCGAAGGAAATATTGTAAATGCGATCAGTTAAGACCTTAGTAATATTAATGGATCCCACTACAATCGCCTAAATGCTATGGAATTAAAGGACACAGCATGATCAGGAAATAGAGTAATATGGGTACGAAATGTTTGGCTCAGCTTCACATTTCTGTAAGGCATATAACGTAGACAATGCCACAGATGTAACTGAAAAAATACCTTCTATCACTAATCTTCTATGACTGTAGAATAGTTAGAAGACAAATCTGATTTCTTTTACTACTTTACTTTCCCAGTGGAACATAGGGTAGCTTCAAGCTGGGGCTTTGAAGTTTCGGTAGCAGTGGCGTTTATTTTTTTTAGGGATGGAATTGCTAGCTTCATGCCCAACCTTCCTTCTTTACTAGTCTTGTTACTGGCTTAGTGAGGTAAAGGAGTGCATCGACTAGGGATAAAACCCCGAACCACCTGCGTGGTTGACAAGCATTCTACCTCTGTGCCATCGACTCTAACAAATCTGATTATTAAACATTAAAACGTTGCAAATGTTTTAGTCATCTACACGGGCTTCAAAACATTTTTGCTTGTTTTCAGATGCAACATGTCCCTTACCTATAAAACATTTACTACATATACAATTTAAGACCCATCTGGAGATTAATTCTGAAATTCTGTTTCAGATTTAAGTCTGTAGTAGTAACTTTGTAACACATGTCCAGCTCACCTCAGAAAGTTAAATAAATAAGTCTCGCAGCTCCATGTGTTCCTAACGTCGTTTTGTTTAGTAATTCTACAGTACACCTGGTTTCTTTTCTAGCTCGCAGATGTTTAAGTATGCACAAACAATCAGTTCAAGTTATATGCAAATACCTACCGAATGTCAGAATTTTAGTTAGGAAGATTTTGCAATCCGGTTTCCAACAATTCCAAACGCATACCATAGATAAGCGTTTGAGCAAATAAAACAACTAAAACCTAAAATTTTAGAATTATTGACATCAGTTGATGTTAGGAATTCTGGAAATTGTGGAGATGTACAACTTATAAACCTGTTTATTTTAATTCGATTAATTTCCCTGAAGAAGTTCGGACCAGATTGCCGAACGAAACGTTGGAATTAATCATTTCAATTTCGCTGAGATTTTACAAATATAATTTTATAAATGTGGAGATGTATCTTAGGATGCATTCTGGCAGCTCCATAATTGACTTCAGATATGAAAACGACAAGTAATGCAAACCGCTAGGTTAAATAGTCTAATACTAACTTTACTACTAATTACGTACTTAGCTATCACTGACCTCAGGGTCATTACTGAAACTTTAGTTTTCACTTCGGAAAGCTAGACAGTCTCGGGCAAATTCGTTCGACAACCAGATGTACTAAATCGTCTCTACATTTCTGCAGTGCGCCGGATATATTCGCTAGCTGTGACCAAGTCAGAGAATTTTTCGCGAACATGGGTAAAGCTGTTAACAACGGGGGCAATTATACGCTCAAAATTGGGTGAAGGGGGGGGGGAAGTGGGTCATTTTCGGAAATGACATTGGTAATATAGGTAAAAGTGTATGCTGACATGGGTAAAATGAGAAGATGTCAGTGACAAAAGCTTTAGTGGAATTGGGAAAAAGTGGATAAAATGAAAAAAGTGTACATTTTAAGTTGTATTTACCCACTGGAAAACAGTGGGTAACTACATAATTTTCATGTCTAGCTTTTTAAAACTATCCCTAAGTGCTCTCAAATTACTTATTTAATGTTGAATTTTTCCCTGACCTCAAAATTACCCCAAACACCTCCAAATTACCCCCAAATTTTCTTAACATTCTTCATTTGGTAGGTAACTGCCTCCTACGAATATACGAGGTATACATATGTATGTTAGGTGAGATAATTCATGATTTGAATGAAGTATATAAATATTAAGTAGTTTCTGGGATAAAAGATTTCATCATCCATAAATATAGTAAATAAAACTTCTCAAACCTGTTTATGGCTTTCAAAAAAAAGTTGGATAGGGAACTATAGCACCAGTTTAAAGTTAATTCAATTGGCATAAACAAACAACATTCTGGAGACTCGTGCTAATAATAGTCTTCTGACCTTTTAGATACATCTTTCTTTATTTGTAGATTAAACTTTGAAAAGATTGAACTTTGTTACTCTCCATAATGATCATTAATATCAATTTCTCTTCCCCACCCAACTTAGCAAGTTCCACTTTGTTTCTTTTTTCGATCCATCTGGGGGAGAGTAGTTATCTCTAATATAAAGTGAGGTTCTACATGTAATATCTTAGGTATGATCGTGTGTAAAATATACGGTTAATAGCATTAGCGGAAAAGTGGTGGAAGCATAGTTTCCGGATCAAAAGATTTGAGATAGTGAAAGTTCAGTAACTGCGCTGGCATTTATAGTTACAGTTGTCGCTTGCAGGAAAGTAAAAGGGTTTTCTCAAGTCTAAGAATGAAACAGTGACGAGAATAATAATCTTTTGGTATCTCTGTTACGGTAAATAATTTCCCTAATTTAGTTGCCAACAGTATAACCATCATCGCGAGCGTTCAGACTAAAATCTTATGAGGTAAAGTGGTTAATTTGAAGGCGGGTGATGAACTAGGCAAAGCATTTGCGTTGTGTTCTGTTTTCCGAGCACTATCTGTAAGTTGTGAAACACAAATTACTGCTCAGCGGCCCCAATGCCGAACTCCTGAAGTACTGTAATTATTTTGCCGACTGGATGAACCGTGCTCCACGTCAAATAAATGTACATGGGTTGGAGGAGAGTATACAGATAGTATCACATGACTGTGTCATGTCCATGCACCTACCTCTCAAACTGGTGAACACGCAGACCACTTCCACTTCTGTTTTGTACGGGTCGATTTTGTGCATCACTACTACCTTTTAAATATTATTACTATTTGTGACCACATCTTGGAGCACATACTTATCAGTTCAGAGTGTGCTGATTCACTTCGTCTTGTGTTCACTTCAAAGTACAGAATCATGCTTTGTTATGACATAGTGTTACTTTGTAACGAGTCCATGAAACTTAAGTGGGGTTGTGCAAGGTAGTGTCCTAGGTCCACTTTTATTTACAGTATACATTAACAGCATTTGCAACTGCTTCACCTCAGGTAAATCATTCCTATATGCTGACGACCTCAAAGTCGTTTACTCCTGCTACGCTCATGAACTAAGCGATATGGTAAATAAAATACATCTTGAACTAAGTGGTCTCGCAACATGGTGTACTGAATCCTGTCTAAAGTTTAACATTCACAAATGCGGCAAGATTTGTATCGCCAACAGTAACCTTGACCTAACTCTTGAAATAAATGGGCGAAAAATAGCCAAGCTCAACTCAGTCGTAGATCTCAGTATCAGATACTCTAGTAACTAAACGTTTTCTGGACAAACTGATCATGCCAGCCGTAAAACACGAAGGCTCCTGGGATGCATAACTCACAATTTCTTTTGTTGTGAAACTAGGGTTTTATTATACACAGTATCTGTCCGACCTATTTTAAAATACTGCCTGTTTATTCTTAGCGGACTTCGACAGAATGACAAGCTTGAATTAAAAGGAGTACAACGGCAATTTACCTCAAGAGTTCTTGGTTTAGAATGTGGTCTCGAATACCATGAACACTGTGACAGACTAAGATTGAACCACTCTGGAAAAGACGTCTTAAGCTAAACCTTATTTTTCACTACAAGCTACCTATTCTTCTCTTGCACTCCTCCGAGTTAATGACTAAACCTACCACTGTCATCAGTTATAGTCTTAGAAATCATCACAACCTGGCTGCCATAGGGTATTGTCAGACTTACACGCGGTACAACTTCTTAAGTAAGTTTCCTGTCATTTGGAATAGACTGCCAGCTAATGTGCATGATGCAAACACGCTCCCAGTGTTCACCTCCTCAGTCACCGGGCTGCTCAAAGATGGCAACGCACTTCTGCGTCTGACTCTTACACCCTCTTTTTCAACCCACATAGATATTTTAAGTTCATTAAACGTGTAAGTTACAACAAACTACAATTATAAATTTTAATATTATTGGATTGACATGATAAACATTTCTACACAGGACAATAATATTAGTTCACACACAATATAAAAGTCAGCATACCAGGACTAGCTACTACACAGAATATATATACATAAATTTACTAATCACTCCTTGAGGACTCCACATGTATTTTGTGTGCTGCTGTCGTTTGTCTTCTTTTTTCTCTCACCATTTTAGCTTATATCTGACTTTTTGGATGAGAATAAAGGATGTAGATATTTGACCACTCACAATGACAAATGATCTGCAAACATTATTATCCCATATCTTACAACTGCCTCGTGAATTACCTATTACCTTCCTAAACGACGCACCCTGGATTACAGTTGTGGAATATACCTTTGTACCAATGAAAAAGTACTAATTTATAATACTTCACGGTTATAATTTTTTAATTAAAATTTAAAAATTAAAAATTAATAATTTATAACATATCCGATCGTGCCTATAAAAATGGCTTATATTTCTTGTAAACACCCGTTTATAAGAAAATATAAACTATTATTATTAGCCTGCACAGAATACAATTCACTTCTGGCGTTACTAACGATAAAAATTCCGACAAAATTACACAAGTGTATCACTTATTTCAAATTTTTTAGACAATTTGGATATAAATTAAGAGTAAGATTCGATGCCGTACACACCAAAGTTATATGGGGGAATGACTTCAAGCTTTATTTCTTTCTCAATTTTTTGTAATCCATCCAAAACATATTTGGTTTTTTTGTTAATGCGGAGACTATTCCTGTATTTCTTGATATGCCCTATTGAATGACTAGTTAGCAGATTGTTCCCACAAACCGAAGTCAAAAGCAACAGCGACCATGTACTTTGACGGTAAACCAAATTATATGTAATGTAAATAATACTTAGGTATAACAACATCCCATGGACAGATGTACGCTCGTTGGGCACCATGTATCCCTCACCAACTGCAACCCACCTTTCCTTAGATAATGTGATGAACTTATATCCATAATGTTGCTGAGCAGTTATTATTCTCAACTCCTGTCGGAACAGCTGAAATTCATAAACCTTCCTCACGCTAAGAAAATACCCACGAGAAGTAGAAATCCATTAATTAATGCGTCTGAAGCCTATGTATATTTACTCCCAACAATGACATTGCAGATCAAATGAGATAAACATATCACTGATTTCAAAATAACACATCAATGAACTAAAATTTGAGGACTCTGCACACAACAAAGTTATGTATAAAAATTGACTTCAAGCTTTATTTTTCTCCCAGGCACTTATAATCCATCCACCAAAGACCTGGTTTTTTTGTTAATGCGAAGACAATACTTTTGTATTTCCTGATGTGTTGTACTCACTGACGATCTAGCAGATTTTTCCAACTGTGCACAGAAATGATTGTATATAAGTGAAAAGGCTGTTTTATACTACTGGGATTAACATTTATCAAGTGTATGTATAATCTCCAGCGAACATGTAAAGTATATCTTGCTACTGCCTGTAAATTGTGATTGAATTATATGGTTCTATTTCTGTAACAATTTGATGATGCCTGTAAACTGGCGTCCCTCATGTACTGTACTATGAGAATAAATTTATTTATTTATTTATTTTATCCATACCTGTACAAATGGCATATCCTACCTAGGTAGGAATACATCTGTATTTAATTATATTATTATGTCTCATATTTATAATCCTCTTAATTTTTTCGTTTTGCTTATTTTTTTCATAAGTGTGGACATAATTTTAAGCTGTATTATAACTGTTAATTTTGTATTTCCCCTCATTATACTATGTGTACAGAACATTAGACACAATAATCTACAACATGCTACAGTTTCCAAACTGAATTGACAGTACCGTTTGAAAGAAACTCACTGTCATTGTTATTATATCTATTAACTATGTCGTAAATGTGGACAAATTCCTCCGATTAATTTTGTTTTAATTTGTAATTTTATTTGTATTTTGAGTAAATCAGATGCAATATTGTGACAAATGCTGAGAATTCCATTCTGTATTATAACTACTGTTTTTGGAATAAAGTAAATTATTATATATGTTTACTAGTTGTGCATGTAATTTATCATATTGATGATGCCTGCACAAAAATTAGGACATATTATTATAAACCAGATTGAAAATATTCTGTACTCGGCAGCATAAAGAAGAAGATTCGGACTTTCGACACAAATGTGAAGACAGTCATTTCTTCAACACAAGCCTGAAACCTTCACTGCGTGTCACGAACCACCCTTATCTGTGGGACAGCACTCTATTGCTAAGGCTCCTGAGTTCGAATGGCTTCTGCAGAATAAGAGAATAAATAAAATTTAAAATAACAAAATCAAAAAAACAGAAGTTGAAAATTTGCCTAAAGCTGAAGTTTAAATAACAAACTCCTCGAATGCAAGTACATGGTATGAGTCCCCTACTTCAGAAGGACACCTAAATGTATACTTCAGAAAAACAGTAGTTATTATTAAGCCCTCGCTTTTCTTCTACATAGTTCACGCACTTTGACTTTTGTGTTTAACTCATATTCAACCTATATAAGTAGGTAAAATTATCATCTTTTTTTCACTTAAACTTTTATTTTCTTTTCGCAAGAAAGACTAGAATTCCATCACTAGAAAATCTCAGGGGGAAATAGTATTTTTTAAAAGAAGAAAAAACAAAAAAATGATGAACCCATGTTTTTTACATATGTTTTGAATTATTAACACCTATTATATACTTCTGCACCTCTCTGGCGGTTTTCTTGTGTCTTCTTCTCTTTTCAAAGGTACTGCCTTAAACGAAGGTACTGAAACAGTGCCGCTATCCTCGGAATATTGCTAGCCCACCTGGTGAATAACGGAACCACCTCTATCATGAAATCTGCTGACAAGTTCAAAGTTGGTCTCATATACAACTGGAAATGTCACAATTATGGTGTACTTACCGGTGAATTTGAAG